CTGAGGTGAGAGGATCACCCGAAGCCATGAGTTTGAGACCAGCCTGGGCAACACAGTGAGACCCTGTCTCTACAATAAATAAAAAAAATTAGTGGGGCATGGTGGCAAGGTATTAACAATACAATAATACAAATAAAAAGAGTCCAGTATAACAACTATTTATATAGCATTTACATTGTATTAGATATTGTTAAGTAATCTAAAGACACTTTAAAGTATACAGGAGGATGTTCATAGGCTATATGCAAACACTGTGCCATTTTATGTAAGGGACTTGAGCATCCATAGATTTTGGTATCTGAGGACGGTATCCTGGAACTAATCTCCTACTGATACCGAGGGATGACTGTACTAAAAAACCACTGAATTTTATGCTTTAAAAGGGTGAACTTTATGGTATGTGAATTATATCTTAATAAAATGGTTTTTTTAAAAAAAAAAAAAAAGCAATAAGCAACAATGTGGGAGTCAGAGAGTTTACAAACTAAGGAGGAGAAGCAAGGAGGTTGTAGGAGAGATGGAGAGTCCTAGCCCTGGGGTGGGCGATTAGGGGTAGAGAATAGAGAGGGAAATTATCTGGGAATGTGCATGTATGTGCCAGGGTCGGGCGTGGTGATGGTGGTGGTGGTATGTATGTGTGTGTATGTGTGTGTATGTGAATATACAAGGGCCTTTTCAGAACAGTCTCTAATTTTCAATTATTATTATTTCAATTATTTGTTGGGCCCTTGTTCCAAACCATCAGCCAAGTGTGCTATACACCTGGCCTGGAATTCGTGGTCCTTTTGGAGTAAAGAGCTCAGCTTTTTCCTTCAACAGGAAAAAGGAGAGTCAAAGAGGAGGCAAAAGCAGGTAGGAGATTTAGAAATCAGCAAAAGTCAGGAGTGAGTAGTAGAATCTAAGCTCTCGGAGAATTCCTGCGATTTTTGGTAGGGATGCTGGGTATTTTATTGAGAGAAACCTTCGATTACATCTTCAGGGGCAAGGTACACTCATCGAGTTGAGAGATGAGAGGTATTTAAGAGGCTGAGCTTTTCACAAGATGGCGCTGAAGACGAAGAAGGAAGCTCCTGCCCCTCCCAAAGCGGAAGCCAAAGCAAAGGCTTTGAAGGCCAAGAAGGCAATGCTAAAAGCCGTCCACAGCCACAGAAAAAAGAAGATCCGTACATCACCCACCTTCCGGCAGCCAAAGACACTGCAGCTCCGGAAGCAGCCCAGAAATCCTCGGAAGAGCGGCCCCAGGAGAAATAAGCTTGATCAGTATGCCCTCATCAAGTTCCCCTTGACCACTGAGTCTGCCATGAAGAAGACAGAAGACAACAACACACTTGTGTTCATTGTGGATGTCAAAGCCAATAAGCACCAGATCAAACAGGCTGTGAAGAAGCTCTATGACATTGATGTGGCCAAGGTCAACACCCTGATCAGGCCTGATGGAGAGAAGAAGGCATATGTTCCACTGGCTCCTGATAATGATGCTTTGGACGTTGCCAACAAAATTGGGATCATCTAAACCGAGTCCAAGAGGCTAATTCTAAATATATATATCTTGTCACCTCAAAAAAAAAGGCTGACATTTGGGGTGCCTGTATCGCTTACTTTCCAATGGGTTCTCATCACCTTTAGAATAAAACACTCCTCCCGCACCCATAGCCTAGAAAGCCCTGAGTGGTCCAGCCCTTACCAGCTGCCCCGACTCGTCTCTTAACATGTTCCTCTTTGCTCCAATCACAATGCTCTCCTCTCTGGTCCTTCTGCCAGGCTAAGTCTTCACTGAAGGACCTGGAATGGTCCTCCCCAAACTGTTCCACAGCCAAAAGGTTCACAGCCAGCTCCCTCTCATAGCTCAAGCTCGGCTCGAACCTCACCTCCTTAGATGTCTTTCCTGACCATCCAATCCCTACCACAACCACCCGCTTCATTTTCTTTATAGTGCTGATCACTAGCTCAGATTATTTTGCCTATTTGTTCAACGGCTTGTCATTTGTCTTCTCCTCTTGAAGGTCATCTCTCTGTCATGCAAACAGGAACCTGGTCTAGGTCTCTTCTTGCTCTGTAGCCCCAGAGCCCAGCACAGTACTTGGCCTAGTACCCAGGTGCTCCAGAAATATTTACACGTGTAAAGGCAGCAGTCTGATGAGACACAAGGGTGAGTGTGGTCGCCGGGGAGGGTCAGGGTGTGGTGGGGACTCCCGGTTCAGACCAGGAGTGGGTGTTCAAGAAGGCCTTCTGGAGAAAATGAAAGCTGAGCCTTGAAGCTAAATAAGAGTTGGCTAAGGGGAAGGGCGAGGATATAGTGATGCATATTTCAGGCAGAGAGAACAGCATGTGCAGGGGCCCCATGGGAAGAAGCCCAGACATTAGAGGAATTGAAAGTAGTTCATCCTGGCTAGGTCCTGGAAGCAAGTGGCTGAAAAGGCAAGCAGAGCCAGACCATGCAGGACGTTGTAACCTGAGCTAAAGAGTTGAGGAAGAGCACTGGGGAGCCATGGCAGGGATTTGAGCAGGGGAGTGGCACCATCGGATTTGGAAACATGAGAAAGATCACTGTTCCTGTGGTGCGGGGAATGGGTTAGCGAGAAGGAAACAGTGAAGAAGCCATGGTAAGAAATGTAGGAATGGAGAGAAGGGGACAGATTCCAGCAGGGCTTGGGAGACAAAATCATTAGGACTTAGTGATTAATTAGTTGTTAGGGGCGGGCATTATTGAGGCTAACACCCAAGTTTCTGGCTTAAGCTAGTAGTTTGGTAGCGCTACTTAGCAAGCAGGGAAACTCAGGTTTAGGTGTAGGTGACAAAGTTATGAGTGAGACAGGCTGAGCTTCAGGACAGAGCAGGGCACTCAAAGTCAGTATTGGACTAGTAAACAACCCCCAATCTCAGCACCTTAAACAACAAAGATTTATTTGTCCCTGACTCTATTTGTCCATCTTGAGTCAATGGAGGTTTTGCGGTGACCTTCACTCAGGGACACAGGTTGATGGAGCCTCCGCCATCTGGAATGTTGCTTGGTTACCTTGAAAGAAGGGAATTTGGCAAATTGTGCCACATTTCATTGGCTGAAGCATGTCATAGGGCCATGCCTCACTCCAAGAGGACTTGGAAGTGCAAATCTGCTACATGCCAGCAAGGAGAACTGGTGATACTAGTGACCAGTTTAATGAGCACCAAGAAGCTTAGGTTCCAGTCCTGGCTCCACAGTGCAAACTTAGACAAGTCATTTCTCATCTCTGAGCCTCAGTTCTCCCTGCCTCTAAAATGGGACAATAATACTTCCTTCACAGGGCTGCCGTGAGGATCCATTGAGGGAATATTGACGAAAGTACAGATGGCCTTTTGCGGGTTCTGCATCCATGGATTCAACTGTGATTGAAAATACTTTTAAAATAAAAGGGATGGTTGCATCTGTACTGAAAATGGTAGACGTTTTTTTCTTGTCATTATTCCCTAAACAATACAACTATTTACATAACATTTAAATTGCATTAGGCATTGTAAGGAGTCTAGAGATGATTTAAAATGTATGGGAGGGTGTGAGTAGGTTCCATGCAAATACTACATCATTGTCTGTAAGGGACTTGAGCATCCTTGGAGTTTGGCATCCTCAAGAGGCCCTGGAACCAATCAATCATGGATATCAAAGGACAACTTTACTTTGCTTAGGCAGGGAAAGGAGTCCAGGGGTGGGAAGCTGTGATGTTTCTCAGGACAACAGAGAGGCACAGTGGTGGCAGGAGTGGCTATGACCACAGGAGAAGCAGAATCTCTGAGTGCGCTGGGGACTATAGGATGGTTAGAACATCCCTGTCCCCCTGCCCCAGCTTTCCAAAGTCTTAAGCACTTCCATATCTTTCATCTCTCCAGCCCTCATCCCTTCAATGACACAGTGGGTCTCAGAGAGCTCCCTGACAAATGGAGAAAAAGCCATTACTGCCAGGAGTCCACAGAACTTGGAGCCAAAGTGTCCACCTCACTCCTTGGCTGAGAGCCAACCTCACTCCCAGGTTTGGAGCCTGCTGGAGGCAGAATAATAAACCCCAAAGATGTCCCCGTCCTAATCCCTGGAGCCTGTGAATATGTTACTTTACATGGCTAAAGGGATTTCGCAGATGTGATTAAATTAAGGACCTTGAGATGGGGGATTATCCCAGATTATCCAGGTGGGCCTATATAATCCCAAGAGGCCTTAAAAGATGGAAGAGGAAGGCTTAGAGTCCAGATGAGCTGATGGAAGCAGAGGTCAGGGTGATGTAATTCTTGGCTGGATGGAGGTCACAGGTGGGTGTGGGGTGGAACAGTCTCTAGAAGCTGGAAAAGGTAAGGAAATGGATTCCCCCCAGATCCCCCAGAAAGAACACCACCCTCCTGACACTTTGAATCTAGCCCAGGGAGGCCCACTGCCAACTTGTGACCTTGAGAACCGTAAAATGACAAATCTGTGTGGTTGTAAGCCACTAAGTTTGGGGTAATTCATTACAGAAGTAACAGGGAACTAAGGAGCCTGCAGGCTGGAACTAGTGGGTGGCTTGACACTGGACAGTTGACACTGGCAAGTCACCCAGCCTGGGGCCAAGAGGGAAGATCGCCCACTTCTGGGGTGAGGCCTGAGCAGAGGCAGAGCATGTGTGCGAGGGGCCCAAGAGCAGCCCTGGGGATGCCCCAGTGCTGGTTTGTCCTCCTTCATCTCCCTTTCTGCCTCCTCTCCGAAAGCTTTTCTCTTCAGCACCTTGCTATATGACCTTGAACAAACCCTGTCCTTCTGCTGGCTCTAGATTTTTGTATATGTGAAGGAAAGAGGAGATGGGTTAGGGGACTCTCTGGGGGCCTTGGAGGCCTAACACTGTGAGTCAGCGTTTCCAGGGAGTGATGAGCCTGCCGAGAGCTCTCGGGTGATGCTCGTGGACTGCCCTCCACCCCAAGCCACCTTCCTCCCGAGAGTCCCGCCCAGAGCCTCTCCTGCTGCCACAGAGAATGCACTTATGCTCAAACACTGACTTCAGTTACAAGACAGGGGGACAATGCTTTATTGACTTGGCACCTATGAATGGGTGGCTACAGGCCCCCAGGGTTCTTTGCCACTGCAAAGTGGAGGCTCTGTGGTGGGGGCAGCTTAAATCAGAGATGCTGGTTCCAGCTGCAAGGAGGGGCCACTGTCCCTGCTTTGGCCCCTCCAGTCCCCTTGTCCAGCCGAGCACCATCTGAGTCCAGGCCCTCACGGAGCAGGGCAAGGGAATGACCCAGGTTCTTCTGTAGCTCCTGGGAGTCTAAGGTAAGAGGTGTATGCCCCTCCTGCCTTCCCTCTTCTCGGGGATCCCAAAATGGGCTGGAGGCAGGGGAGATACCCCATTTACAAAGAGCCCCTGAGCCTCCTGGAACTGGGTCAGGAAGGCAGTGTCAGGGGTGCTGTAACAGGAGCCACAACAAAGGGAAGAGTTAGGAGTCACTTTCTCTCCCCTCATTTTTGTTTTGGCTGAGCAAAATATGGGAGCCTTCATTGAACTGGGCCCACAATAGCTGCTGACAGGCTGAGGTCACACAATACATCGAAGGGGGTACAGCCAGGCTGCCCCATGCAGGATGATACTGGGCAGGCTCTCTCCCAGGCAAGGGAAGGGAGGGGCAGAGTGAACTGCAGTAGTCACACGAGGAGGGCTTCCTGGAGGAGGAAGGGCAGGTCACAGAAGGCTCCCGAAGAACAGGTGGTCTGCACAGCAGGCTGGGTCATGACGGCCGGCACAGGACACTGGCGTCCTCACTGTGGTCACAGTTGTGGGCATCCCAGCGAATGTGAGAGCAGAGTAACAAGGTACTCTCATCCCCACGACACTTGACATTGTCCAGGAGGATGGGGCCTCGGCCTGGGCCAAAGTGGGCCTCACCAGGGGCTGCCAGGGCCTGGCCACAGCCCAGCTGGCGGCACAGGACACTGGCTGCCCGCAGGTCCCAAGCATCATCGCAGATAGTGCCCCACCGTTGCCCTAGGAAGAGCTCTACACGACCCTCACATCGGTGGGCTCCATTGGCCAGACGTAGGTGCCCTGTTGGGGGACAAGGCCTGGGGCTAAAGGTGCTGGCCCATGCCAGGCCACCCCCAAGCTGGGCCAGGTCAGGAGTGCTTAGAGGAGGCAAAGGGTGGTGGTCTGAGACACAGCACTGCCCTAGAAGCCACTGGATGAGGGCAGACAAATGAGATTAAAATAGGATGGGAATCAGTCCAGACTACAGTCTCAGGACTGAAAGAAACAGTGTAAACATTTGTTGAGTGACCCGTGTGCTGGGTGCTTCGTGTCTGCTCTCTCCCTGGTCCTCTGTTCATAAACCCAGTACCTCAGCCCCAGCCCAGCCGTTTGGAGACTGTGATTATGTCCTCTGTGTCCCCTGAGGGTCATCGTCATCTTCCCCTGCCCCAGACTTCCTGAGCTACATTCTGAATTCTTTCATTGCTCTCTTCAGGACAGGATCCTCATCCCCTCATTCTGATAACCACCTCTAGAAACCTCTAGATTGCTCTAGCTTAAAGCCCACCTCCTCCTTTCTGGACACCATACCCCTATTAATGAGGCCTGAGACCAGCACAAAAAGGTCGGGGGTTCCCGGACCAGGTATAAATCTGCTGAGCTTCATAACCCAGGCTGTGACCTCCCCCAATCCAGGTCCTTCCTGTCCTGGTTGCCTCCACCTCACTTACAGGGAGCTGTGGGCACCTACCGTCCCTGGGCCGAGGAGTGGGCACCCGGGTGGTCTCAGAACCGTCCAGCTGGACTTGCAGTCCCAGCTCCTCTGGGCCTGGCTCAGTAAGAACAGAGAAAAAGAGGAGGTTGTCACAGGGGAACATGTTGTTAAGGCCAAGTGGCATCCTACCCTCCCCGGGGAAGCCTGTCCCAAGGACAGAAAGGACTTCACAGGCTCCTGAACCGTCCCTTGGGTCAGAAATGGGGTTGTGCTTCTTTGATCCTGGGGCCCAAAGCATAGCCAAGCCTCTGGGAGGGGAATGTGGGCCTGCTAGGCTGGGGGCACCAAATAAGGGTGAAGATATCAATTCCCACAGCAATCAATGAACAGAAGCACTGAACATTTTACAACGTCCTGCCAGACTGCAAACACCCCCTTCCCTTTGACTCCTCCCAAAGGTCACACGCTAGCTCTGGGAAGGCAGATCCACTCTCTCTGCTTAGAGCTTTGCGGGGGCCTGGACTAAGCAGGGAGCAAGCGGCCTGGCCCTTTACAGACGCGACCTCAGACTTCATCCCTCCACAGAGCTGGGCCCGCCTTCAGACCGCGCCTCATGCCCCACCCCTCACTGCCGCAGCGCGCGGCCTTCCCAGGCCCCGCCCACTCGCCTCTGCAGAGGGCACGCCCTTCCGGCCCCGCCCTGCCGCGCAGCCGCAGAGCGCGTCGGCGGGCAGGCGGCTCCTCTGCGGAGTGCGCGTGCTCCCCGGGGCGCGCTCCCGCTGCAGTGCCGCAGAGCGCCCGCCCGCGCGGCCCCGCCCTGGCCGGGCCAGACCCCGCCCCGCCCCCGCCGCAGTGCGCGCTCCCGCCGCGGCCCCACCTGCGCAGAGCGCGCCCGCGTCCTCGTGGTGGCCGCAGTTGTGCTGGCCCCAGCCCAGGTGGAAGCAGTCGCTCAGACGGGCCTCGGTGCCTGCACAGCCCACGTTGTCCAGCAGCACCGGGCCGCGGCCGTAGCCGAAGTGGCCGAGGCCCGTGGCGCCCAGCGCGGGCCCGCAACCCGCCTCGCGGCAGGCCACGCGCGCGTCCGCGAAGTCCCAGTCATCGTCGCACACGGTGCCCCAGCCCCCGGCGTACAGCACCTCCACGCGGCCGCGGCACGGGCCCGGGCCGCCCACCAGCCGCAGCCGCCCGCCTGCGGGGCGCACAGGCCCGCGGCCAGAGGGGCTGGGCTGGGGCGGCCGGCTCCCAGGCAGAGCCCCGGCCTCACCCTCCCCCACCCCCCGCGGGACCCGGGCACGGCCACTTACTTCGCTTCCCCGCGGGCCAGGCGGCTGTGGTGGACAGGGCTGTCTCCCGGGAAGGCTGGGCGCCAACTCCTGTAGCTGCGGAGACAGGGCATCTAGAGTGTTTGGAGGGGACAGGAGGCCTCTACCCTGCAGCAGGGCACGGGACGCCAACGGAGAGACCTTAACCTTACGACACCCACGCCCACGCTCAGCCGCGATCCCAGAGTCACCACGTTGTCTGGCGTGTGTTGGGATCTCCAGAAAACTTGATTGGAATGAACCGAATCCTAATTCCAGGTATTATCCTAATTCAATCCCAGTGATAGTCTCAGCCCTAATTCCAAAGGCACTTTGAACCTCAATTCAACCTTCACCTCAATCAGCCCCCTCACAAGGTCTCTCAGCTCCCACCCAATCTCAGCACCATCTCAAATTTTACTTCACTGCTTTTCAGAAACCTCTGACTACTTCCTCCCACCCCGGTGAACTTTCCAGAGCTCTGGGTTTCATCCTTGCTCCATCTGTTCATCGTTCCCTCACCCACCTCTTTACCAGCTGGCCAAAGCCCTGGCCTGTTAGTCAAGGCCGCCCTGCCGACCAGGGCAGCCTCCCCAGTTCCCAGCCCCCGCACACCTTGCCCCTACCATTCCAGCCTGGAGGGCTGGGCCCTTTACCTGCTAGCTCTGAGTGCCAGGCCCAGTCCTCTCTTGTGGCTGAGGGTGGCAGTGCTGAGAGAGTTGGGAGCCCCAGGACTAGAGCAGGAGAGAATGGGACAAGGGTCAGAGGCTGAGGCTCTGGTTCCCAATCAGCCGTGTGCTGTCAGGGGAGGATAGGAGGGTCTCCCTGGAGAAGAGACAGACTTTACTTTCAGGGCAGGGGGCTCAGCCCCAGCTGGGGTCCAAGGAGGTCTGCCCCACTTTGACAGCAGTTGTAATTTACTTGTGCTGCACAGGGTGTACACTTCACAGTTTATACAGGGCTCTCACAGACAAGCTTTCATTTCTCTCCAATGTCCAGTGTTCTAAGAATCCCGTTGTGTCTAATGGACAAACTGAAGGCCTTGCCCATCAAGGAGGGCCATGCACAGCCCTGAGGGGCTTGCGAACAAGACTTATCCCCCTCTTACAGATGAAACAGGGCTAGAAAGGGCAAGGCGCACGCTCAAGGCTGTCCAGCCAGGTGGCTCTGCCAGGGATAAGGCTCTGCCTCTCAGGGCCTCAGTTTTCCCACCTGTGAACTGGGAAGCTAGCCCTTGGTTCGCTGTGAGTTAGGAGTCATGGGCGATTACTTTCTGTAGAATGTAGTCCATCTGTGAAATGGTGTTATTGGCTTTATTATTTCTATTTGCTGAGAAGACCTCCGAAATTGGAGAGGACCCAGGTGGGGAGAAAATACTATTATTAGAGCATTAGGATTACAGAGGGCTGTGCTAGGTAATTCTGCTACAATTAGAGAATTTTGGTGTTTTTCTCAGGCGATTCTAGAGTGCTATTTCGTTCTGAAATATTCCATGAAGAGTACTTGGAAAGTTTGGTCCCGCTGTGGATTTCTGGAGTATTGGTGGCATAATACTGCAGCATTGTTACATAGCTGTGGAGCGTACCTCAAGGAGACCTGGGATAGTCTGAGGCACTTCTAGAGCAGTACTGAGATATCATAAGGAATTGTGGATCCTTCCTGGAGAGCTCTGGCAAGCACCAAGGCAGCCCAAACACTCTCCCAACCCACCACCTCCCTAGGCAGGGCTCGGCCCACCTTCCCCAGCGCCCGGACAAGCTCCGCCCCCTCCGCTCCGCCCCCGGGGCCGGCACCTGCGCAGAGTGCGCCCGCGTCCTCGTGGTGGCCGCAGTTGTGCACGCCCCAGCCCAGGCTCAGGCAGGCTGCCAGGTGGGGCTCGCCTCCCTCGCAGTGCACGTTGTCCAGCAGGATGTGCCCCGTGCCGTAGCCGAAGAAGGCGTTGGTGGTGGCAACCAAGGCCACCCCGCAGCCCAGCTGGCGGCAGACCACGGTGGCGTCCGGCAGCCCCCAGTCATCGTCGCACACTGTGCCCCACAGGCCACCGTGCAGGATCTCCACTCGGCCCTGACATGGGTTCGCGCCTCCCACAAGGCGCACGCTGCCCTCACCTGGTGACGGGGGTGGAGGCAGGCGTGTCTCCCACAGGGCCTCCCCTGTGGGTGCGATGCCACCCACGCCCTCCACAGTGTAGCAGGCCCTCCGCACACCCGCAGTGCTCGGTGCCCCTGGACCTAAAACCTGGAGCACCTGCTGGCCACCCTACCCCAGGGCACTGCCTCCTCAGTCCAGATTGGGGGCGGTTTATGGGGTCAGCCCTGCCTAAAACCACTCCCTTCCGGTGTCCCTCTCTCCTGGCAGCCTGGGATGTGCGGCTTCGTCTTCTACCACTGCGGATGAAAACCTCATCTTTCAGAGTGTGGTTCCCACAACTATGAAGCCACCCCCCACCCCCGATCTCCTGAGGGCTGGAACCCTCTTCCACCTCTGGTCTTCCTGTTTCTTTAACTGTCCCTCTTTTAGCGCACTTTTCATTTTCTTGTCTACATCATGGTCGTCATTCTTGTGCAGGTCTGACTCTCCGGGAAGATTAAACACCGGCCTCCACCCCCACCTTGCTCACTTGCTCTAGCCTTCAACTTGCAATCCCTCCCGTCTCACTGCCCAGGGTAGGTGCACGGGGTGCCCACATGACCCTACTTACCTTTCCCATTCTGAGGAGTGGTAGGGGGCGCTCTGCTGGTTAACACCTTCCTTGTTGGGGGCTGCGTGGGCAAGAATTCTGAGAAGCAAACGGGGTGGAAGGGGAGGATACAGGGATATTTCTGTTCTCCATCCTCACACCCATAGTATGTGAGGGGCAGGGGCATAGGACCCTAAGGTGTCTGCCCCCAGGGCCACTGGCTACACAAAGGGTCACAGCCAGGAACCCTGAGGTATGAGAGGGGAAGGGGCCACCAGAGTCCTGAACCCCGCCCCCAGCATAGTTCTCGGAGCAGTTGAGGTCCCTTGGGAATTATCAGAAATTCAAATTCTCAGGCCCCACCCCAGACCTGCAGAATCAGAAACTGGGATGGGGCCACAAGCTGTGTTTTCATGAGCCCTCCAGGCAATTTTCTTGACTAGAACCACTACTCTCAAGGTCAAAACTTCTCAGGGTATCTCCTGCAGCTCTATGACATGTGGCGCTTATGGCCAGTGTGACCCCAAGTCTGGTTTTAGAAATGGCAGGGGGGCCCTGCATGAAAGCAGTGATGCTGGTTTTCTTGTGCAGTGAGCCCTGAGGCACTGCTGTGACCCAGGCACCAGGCAGTGCAGCCTCTGGCTCAGTCTTCTGCATAGAACAATGTTACCCCCAGGAAGTCCCTCCAATTATCTAAGCTACAGTCCTGCTGCCTGCCACAGTCTACCTGCCCTCCCGGGTCCCAGGTCTCTGCTCACCATCGCACAGGACGGCCACATCCTCGTAGTGAAAGCAATTGTGGACACCCCAGCCCCGGCTGCCACACTCGCTTAGCGCAGCTTCCTGCCCGCGGCACTCCACATTGTCCAGCAGGATGGGGCCGCGGCCCTGACCAAAGGCGAGGGGCTGCGGCACTGGCAGTGCCAGGCCACAGCCCAGCTGACGACACACCACATTGGCGTCTACCACGTCCCAATCGTCGTCACAGACGCTGCCCCAGGAGCCGCCATGCAGGACCTCCAGGCGCCCTCGGCAGCGGCTTGGGCCCCCCACCAGCCTCAGCTCTGTGAAGAGGGTTGAGCTGGCACCAGGGGGAGCGCTGGGCCCAAACCTGTGGGATGCCCACTTTGCCATGAAGCTGTGGGAGCCTTGGGATCATCCCTTCTGTAAAATGGGGAGACTGTAGCAGTCCCTCTGAGTGGGGGCATCTAGAGTCATGGAGGGCTGGTGGTCTTCTGTCTGAGCAGCTGGAGCACCTGGGGGGCAGGTGAGGGTGAGGAAGGGCGGGGCAGGGCACCTACCTGGAAAGGGCAGTGCAGTGGGCTGTAGGGCGCTGGCTGAAACAGAGTGAGGAAGAGTGTCCGCCCCTCTGCCCACACCCTTGGCTGCCTGGTCCCAGGAGCACAGCCTCCCTCCCCCAAGGTCCTCATATTCCTCCCCGTGGACTTCACTGCCTCTGCTTTTCCAAAGCTCCTCTCTTTCCCAGACTGTCCCGATTGGCTTCCCAGTGTCCCCCTTTCCAGCCCAGGCCACCAAGAGAGATTTGTCTGAGATAGACCTGCACGTCTCACTCTACTGCTAAATCCCTTAATGACTTCCTGTTACCTGCAGGAGTCCCAGTCGCTGAGCTTGCTTTACAGAGCCTTCTAGAATGTTCTGAAGGCTTGGCCTTACTTCTTAATCTCCCATCCATCTTGTCTCCAGGTCTATACCCAGTTCTGTTCTGGCTTCCCTGCTCATTCCAGCCCTGCTGATTCTTCAAGACCTGGCTCAAAGCCCTTTCCTCTGGGAAGCCCTCCTGGAGCCCTCAGCCAGAAGTGCTCTCTGTTTCCTCTGAGTCCCTGGGCACTACGTACATGCCTCTTTCAGGGCCTCTGCCTGGTAATGTGGCCATGTGGTAATGTGACTCATCTCTATGTCCGCCAGGGCTCCCTGCTCAGAGCCTGGTACCCAGCAGATGCTCAGTAGCTCCGCCTTGAATGTGTATAAATCGGCTTTGGGATTCATTGTGATCCGCCCCCAATGAAGATTTACCTATATGAGTCCTGCATGTGTGTGCTCAGTGCTTTCTGTAGACTAACTCGCTTAATCATTAGGACACTTTATGAATTAGGTATGAGTATGAGTTATGAGTTAGGTAGGAGTTCGTGGGTGGGGCAACTTCAGGTTTAGGGAGGTTAGGGAACTTGCTGAAGGCCACACAGCAAATAAAGTATAGAGCTGTGAGACCACCCAGACAGCGACACTCTTCTTCACCACAGTTCTGAGCACTGGGCCTGAGAGGGGAGGTGGGGAGGAAATAGGGAAGGTGGCCTAGCAGGGAAAATTGAAAACCTGGAAAAAGCCCCTCACTTGTGCCCTCGATCAGACAATTTCACAGACGTTGCCTCATAGAATCCTTACACCCACCCTCCAAGGCATTTACTAGTGTACCCATTTTACAGATGAAAAAACTAAGACTCCTGGTTTTTCTTTCTTAAATTAGGATAATTCCCTTGGTCAATTGATTTCATTTGTTCTACCAGTTGCCTTTCTAACGGCCCCTATTGGTGAGTCCACACACCCCCCACCCCGTCCCTCCTTCCCTGTGCCCACTGTCCCCTAACTGCTCACTCCCTGGGTACATTCACCTCTCACCTCCAGTACTGAGCTCTCCACTCCCCAAACTCAGACTCTTAGCTTTCGTCAACCCTGGGCAAATGTCAGAGCTGGAAAGAACCTTGGAAACTAGCCCATTCACAATCCCCCTCCCGCTAGAATTTTACAGCTGGGACGACTGAGTGCCAGAAGGGGGAAGTAGCAGGGACTGGCAGGGGTGCACTCACCCAGTGGCAGGAGGAGGAGGAAGGACAGGGCTGGGGGGAGGGGGGAAGGGGCAATGCTCCCATCTCCCGGCCTCCACCCCCTGCCCTTCTCATCCCGCTGGGGATCGATTGGCATCTCTGCCTCCTTGTGCGTCCAGCCAGTGGAGGGTCTTTCAGATGGTCCCATCAAGGGGCCGGGGAGAAGTAACAGCTGGAACATCTGGAATTAAAGATCCCAAGTGTTTACTTCTAGCCAGAGGGGCCAGCTTCAGGGGGAAATAACATTTCCACTTGGGTTTGGCACTCTGGTGGCAGTGGTGGGGATAACAGCTGGGAGGTAAGAAAGATGGCACATGGACAGAGAGGAATGAGGAGTTGGGTTTGGCTGGAGCCGAGGATATGTGAAAAGGCAAGTGGCATCCAGTCGAGAGGGTTGGCTGGGCCCAAACCATGACGCACTCAAGGCTCTGGGTTTATCCTCCAGGGCTATGCAAAGTGTCGTGTTGGTGACACTGGTATCAACCCACTTAATTGTGGGAGGATCTACATATACATTTGTTGTTTTATTTATTTTTTTATGGTACTTTCTATTGGGGCAAAGGACTCTGGCTTTCCATTTATTGGAACAATATAAAGTTTCCCTTTAAAATTAATTTAAATCAAAAGAAATGAGTCAATTTAAGGAAACAAAAATCAGAGTTCCCCTGGCTCACAAATATGCAAAAATGGTGCAGG